TCTGAAGACACACTCTCTAAAGACACACTCTCTGAAGACACACTCTGTCTCTGAAGACACTCTATATCAGTGTGTGGTTCTAGTCACTTTGCTCAGCGCCCCCCCTTCTCTGACTGAAGCTCAGAGGGTGGCAGGAGATTCTGAGGGGTGGCATCCCCTGGCAGAAGTATATGCTGATTTATTCTCAGTCATATCAATCAATGTTAACTTGGAAAGCCACAATGTTAATATTTTAATTCAATAACATTAGGTGACATTATTGTGGCACATCAGTAAAGCCTTACATATAAATATATAAGGTGGCAGACAGAATTTAATGACTTTTAACTGAACAATAACTGAATGAGTTAGTCTCACTCTTAGACCAGCAGGGGAACCAAATCTATGCAGACTGCTGCAATAAGTACATTAATTAACTGTCTCATCGATGTTTGTCTGAATGAATATGATACTATTAACAATCATATTATTCCTATCAGCTGTCAATCACTGTTATGATTCACATATTCATTTATTATTGAATAAACTATAGTTTTTGGAGGAGTTAATGATGAATGTTCCTCAAGATGCTTGCTCACCCTCCCTCAAATTTGAAAGACAAGTAATTATATCATGTATCAGAATTCAAAAGATTCAAAGGAACAGTTCAGCGCCCCACAACTTTACTGCAAACAGTTACAACCTTGACTTTACATCAGAAAGAACAAACATTAAAGAAGTGACTAACTGCATCAGTTAGGGTTACAAAACGTGTATTCAGCTAAAACATATACATCGCTGCAGTAATTATCCAGTGGAAAGCCCTTACCTACTGGCCTAGTTACATCAAAGTGGTTACTTTTCTTTGGCTGGGCAGTGTAGTTTTACACACCGTCTTATTTGACTTTCTCAGGACTTAAAACTGTTTTTTGGGGGCAGACCGTTTTTTATGCTCATCGAGTCATCCGTGAGCAGAGCATCAAGTTGGCATGCCTATTACAGCTGAATGCGGTGGGGGTCCACATTAAAGAGCAGCTGAAGACTTCCCTTTTTATAAAGCTGAGAGTCAGGCCTGACATCAACACCCTAATGCAGGGGGGTCAAACATTATTTCATCTCGGGCCACATCAGCATTAAGTTTGCACTCAAAGGGCCGGTTGTAACTTTAAGACTATATAAATAAATAAATAAATATATAATATATGTAAAATAATGTATTATACGTTATTGACTCTCTCAGAAGTCTAGGGCTAATAAACCATTCCAATGTGTACTATAGGACAGTGACAAAAACAGTTTCAAAGGGGAGTGATTAGTAAAATATGCATAAATAAAAAGAAAGAATACTAACTAGGTAAGAAGTTCAAATCATTAACCCGGGCTTAACAGGTTCATGAGGATTACAGAAGCTCTCCATAGTCAGAACCAAGCTGGTTCCACCTGAACCTGTTCCTCCCCGGACTCTGGTCCTCTGCTCTGTGACTCTGATCTCTGAGTCCTTCTTCTACTTTTCTACACACTTTGTTTTTTGCACCTGCCTTTGTTCAGTCGGGCTTTTAGTTCTTTAGTTGCTTAAAAATGTGAAGCAGCAAACCCCAATGTTAGTTGTTCTGTATCTGTGTGAAAGAGCTTGTTATTTTAAATGAGACATTTATGTTTACTTGTTCTCCTTCTAAAGACTAGCGTTGGATAATTTCCCTCAAAATAGGATCATGCTCAGCCTCTGATGTGATGATTTGACATGTAGCTGAAGAGAGAAGAGAGCGGGAAGTGACCATCAGATATCAATACCATATCAATACCATCAGATATGTTTCCAGAGAGACTCCACCTCTCGCTTTACGCTGATATAATGCGAGGACAAAACATGAGATGCTCAGAATAAAGAGAGCGAGAGAGAGAGACAGAAGAGAGACATGGATCACCTGCTGCTGCTGATGATGCTACTGCTCTGTAGCTCAGGTAAGAATACACTTTATTATTTATTATATTCAAATATCTTTGTGATCTCTCAAGAAAAAACTACTCGTAAACACTGACAGCAAGACACACACACACACACACACACACACACACACACACACACACACACACACACACACACACACACACACACACACACACACACACACACACACACACACACACACACACACACACACACAGGGCTGGCACCATCACAGACATGGTGCACTTTAATGCTACGATGTGTGTGATCTTATGCCCCTTTCACACCGGCGCTTTTCCAGCTCCTGCTGGGAGCTAGAGCCTGAAAAGCGCCGGTTTTTCCTGTTCACACCGCAGCGGCGGCGCGTCATAGCTCCGGAATGCGGTTCACTTCCAGCTCCAAAAAATTGTCGGTCCAGAGGCAAGAGCTTCGGAGCTATGACGCGGCGTCGCTTACGTCTCTTACGTCGAGGCGTGCAGGAAACCTTACTTTGACCATCCGTTCGCTGTTATTGATCATTGTGGAGATACATGGGCTGTACAGGTTGTCATGTCCGACTATCAGAAGTAGAATCATAATGAAAAATACGCCGGTAAAATGTGCCTGTAGAAAACGGCTTAGCAAGTAGTCAGTTTAGCTTCGGTTGCTATGCTAACATCACCCATGTTATACCAGAGAAACTTTCATAACAGCGTTGTGATGCCAAACAGCGTCAATTCAGACTGACACACATTCACTTAAGGGGAACTGGGGATATGTATCAGCTGCTTGTGTGACAGTCAGACAGTGAATACTTTAGAGCCGTGTGAGCTAACCCGGAGCTAACGGGAGAATAAACTCCCGTGGAAGTGCAGCCAGCACTGCAGCGGTCGGTAAATGCCGCTGAAACACATTAATAAACAATGAACCACGGCACTCTGGAGAAAAGTATAAGGTTGGAGAAGTCGTTATTTAATTTAATCTGGCTTCGTATGATTAAAAGCAACACGACCCGACGCAGTCCCCGGCCCGTTGTTGTTGTGGGAGAAAATCAGCGACGTAAACTGTGACGTCATGACGCAGCAGCGGCAGCTCTGGGCAGTGTGAACAGAGCGGGAGCTGAAAAGGGAAACGGGAGCTGAACCAGAAAAGCTCTCGCGAGGAGCTAGAAAGTGAAAAGCGCCGGTGTGAAAGCCGCATTAGATAGTAATTCGAAAGTATTAAATATATCCTACGTCAAATACTCTACATGTGTTGTACAGACTTTTGTGATTTGTGATTGGCCCACATTCAGACCAATCAGGAATTGACCAGCACTAAACTTGTAGAAGCCGAGTATGTTGTGTTCAAACTGTTTCTTTGCACACATTGAAGGCTCTATACGCCCCGAGGTGATGGGAAATGGACCTTTAATACACTCCTCACCACCTTCCACAAGACCCTGGTAGCCATGCCAAGTGTCATAGGGGCATTTAAGTCTGCCTTAACTTTCGGGGTCTCCACTGCAGAATGTGGGAACCTGAAAAGTATCACGCAGCAGGGAGATGGTTTGCATGTGGAATAAACATCGTGGTGCTTACTCTGTATTCTGTGTTTGCTGCTCGGTCAGCGGTTGCCCAAGTTGAAGGCCCAAGCAAAGCTGCTTTGTTTAGTTATTGTGAATGTGTGCCTTGCTCCTGAGTGCTGTGTTCCCAGTGATTGTGCCGCCGTGCACACGGAGTTTCAAACGTGGTTTCTATGCTGCTCTTTATTTCTGTGTCTCTACGCAGTGATGTTGGCCATGCTGTTGATCTTATCTACATGACGGGTTAGTGGGTCCTCACATGCCCTCTCTGTAGACCGGGCGCACACACACACACACACACACACACACACACACACACACACACACACACACACACACACACACAATTTTCTTTGGGTAAATATTTATGTTATTGATCTCCCCTTCATCGTCTTTATATTCAGACATTACGAGTTGTTTTCTCCGGAGGCCGCGCTGACGCCTAGAGAGAGTGTCTTTAGAGAGTGGGTCAGTTGTGCAATAGCTCCCTGTCCTTATCGCTGGTGGTGTGTGTGTGTGTGTGTGTGTGTGTGTGTGTGTGTGTGTGTGTGTGTGTGTGTGTGTGTGTGTGTGTGTGTGTGTCTTTGATCAGATCAAATGAAGACACGTCATCAGTTGCATAATCAGCAGAAACTACGGAAAGAGTTTGTTTTCAACAAGGGTGTAACTTTGGTTTGAGAAGTGGGGGGGGCACAAAACAGGGGTCCTCCCCAATGAAACATTTTCTCTATTTAATTCCATTTCCTGCCTTTCTACAAATATATTAGGGACTATGGTGTTAACAAGGCCAAGAGAAGTGTGTGGTGTATATGATGAGAGTGCAGATGGATCTAGTGTCCTCTCCATGTGAACCTGATGTGTTTCTTTACATTGAAGCTAAAGCATCAATCTGGTGCACTTTGAAGGCCACATGAAGAGATGTATGGATACAGCTCTCAACACTCAGATGAAACAGAACTGTATATATTTCAATCATCAAAAAAACATTAGAATATGCTCACAAGCAATAACACATATTTGATCACCTCCTCTCTCCTCTCTGTATCTCACCTAGTCTGCATCCTTTCTTTGTATTGATGCATATGTTACTAATCACTCCCCTTTCAAACTGAGTCTTTTATTTGTGTACTGACCTATAGCACACAGTGGAATGATTTATTAACTTATTTGTTACAACTAGGCCTATATTAAATAGATGGAGATATGTGTTTACAAAGATGAGCAAGCCCAGCGCCATATAGATAGAAGAGTTACGACAGCGGAAGTCCAAAATGCTTGATCGTCACGTGGTTCAGGGAGAGTCAATAGTTCCCCGGAAGTTCTCTGTCTCTCTGTGTCTCTCTCTCTCTCTCTCTCTCTCTCTCTCTCTCTCTCTCTCTCTCTCTCTCTCTCTCTCTCTCTCTCCCTCTG